CTACAGAGAGAGACCCCACTAGAGAGTGAGTTCATTAGTTGACCCCGCATTCAAATCCAGTTTATGTATCCAATACTTTAGAGAGTTCTGGGCAATGTGCTAGACTTGCTTAATGTTAGTGACTGTTTACTTGACTGTTCTGTTGGGTTATACATTATTTAAATCAAATAAACGGATCAAGTGATCTTTCACCTGCCTTCATTAATTTCGAAAAATCTAAAATTTTCTAAACCCAAATTTGAGCTGAAGGTTGAAATTTTCTGTGTGGATCATAAAACACGTAGTTAATAATTGTTGCAAATTTGGAGACGTTCCAGTGACTTTCAAAAGAGAAATCATGAAAAAACCGTTTGTTCATAAATTTCTGGCCACTACTGTATATTCGTGGCTTCTGTGGTTGGAGCAACGCACTAAATGAAAAAAAGACTTTTAAAAGAATGAAGATTGGGATACTCAAAATAAAAACTCATCTGCATTCACCTGGGTCATTTACCCTCTTGAATTTTTTAGGTATCTCACCAGGCTTAGGTGAAGGGTTGATAACGGAATATCATTGAAGAGTACAAAGAAGTGCATCAAGGGAACGTCAACAGGTCGGTCTGGTCATCCGCAACGAGGTGTACATTATGGAATTCGTCTTAGCACGCTGAGCGCAGAATTGCTCTCCTCTGCTAAGGAATTTTCCGAGAAGGGCTATAAAGCGAAATTTCAGTGGCCCAGACTAACAAGCACAGAAATCTTGAATCGACTCCTTTCTATGTTTGCTTTTTCCTCTCTCTGGCACCAGGCTAGATAGGGTTTCGGTATTAGCGCTACATCATTGCAGCCCTACGGACGCTTATGTGAAGGGTTTGTGAGTGATTGAAGAAATCGTGCACGGAGAATTTTAGCATTCTTTCTCAACAATAATACGTCAGTGATGATCACTAGATATAACGAACAAGTTTTACGCAAGACGATAAAGTGCCCATACGGGAACAAACCACCGAAACGCACTTTGTGGATGGTAGCGGGTACGGCGGGTGGGAACAAGAGAAAGCATGGAGAAAAGTGCGCCTTGGGAGGGCCACGTACCAGGCGACGTATTGACGGAGCCAAGCGCAAGCCATCGAATTCAGAGAATAAAGACAAAACGGTCGATAGAATAGGATACAGCAGAAAAGAGGGGTGTTACTGGCATAAGGGGAAAAGCCAATAAGAGTACTAGTGAAGCGTTCCAAGAACCAAGTGGAATCGTTCCCGTCGTCAAAATTTGTGACACTCTTGAGTTCCTTAGCATCATTCCCGCAGCGCGTAGCAGTTTTTACGGTTTGTTTAGTAGTTTTCCAAGCGCAGTTGTTTGGTTTTTTCGATCCTGTGTAAACGACTGGTTCAAGTCAGTGATTAAAGGGTGAGATAGAATCATGATTTCTTGGTGGACCATTATTTTCAAGGCACCTTGATAGCATGTAGAAACATGCGGGTAATAAACTTCCGTGACTTTTTTTTTAGCATCGTTTGAAAGATATAAAAAGTAGTGTTGTGCTCATCGTCTCAAGTCCAATGTGGTGGTGTTCACCTCAATTCAAAGTGCCATTTCGACCTAATGACCATCTCTAGTCTGATATCACACCTTTCCTATAAGAACACTAGCTAATACGCTGGATCACGTCTCCCAATGGTTGAAGCTCCCAGTTCTCATCAGTGTCAGTTCTCATCTGCAGCATATACATAGCTACTACGCTGTAATGCCCTTACAGTCGCTTTAGCTCATGCATGATGTGAAACACGTGGTCATCTTTCTCAACAGTGGTGCTTATCTATGTACCATTTCATGAAGGGATAGACGAGCCTAGCAGAAAATGCCTGAAAATCTTCGGAGGCTTATCCTCTTCGCAGATCCAATAAGAAAAATCACTATTCCTTCGCAACGTAACAAGGGGAAGTGATGAAATAAAATACTCGCCGTCGAAGTGTCAGGACACGCCATGCCTTCCGTATCCGCTAAAATAAAGATGCCTTTCACCGACTTGATGCCACATGCAAATGCAGCGCATTTCGTCTAAGCGGTTGTTTCCACTCATTTCGTGCCATTACACACATGTTACCGTCTAGGGCAGGGTCAACCCTATCGTTGTTACTCTTTGGAAATTTTTTACGACCCCCCCCCTTCATGGGTGATTTGATACGACCCCCCTTGTATGTGACACTTGTGTAGAGACAGTGTTTACCATCAATATTTATTTCTACGTAAGTCATCAAAGATGAAACTTTAGCAAAATCCACGACAGATATCATCGCTGCTTCCAAACACGAAAAAATGAGATGCATTCAAAGATATCCGTGTACTCCAAAGGGTTACCAAACTAGGAGATGAAATAAACTGAACCAGTGACCGGAATATTGACAAT